ATATATATAAAAATGAAATAAAATTTTTATTTTTAGCAAATGTTTTTATTTTATTTTAATTTTTTCATTATTTTTTAAAATAATTTTAATAAAGGAAAATGTATAAAAATTATGTTTTTAATTATAATTAATACACAAATATCTAAATTTAATTTTAATGGATTTTATATAGATTTTTAAAACGATTTTTGACTGGACAGTAAGAAATTTAATAAAGTAAATATCAAAAAAATTTACCGTTTGACTTCTTATATATTAAACTTTTGGCCACTTTATTGAAGTTTGTATAGTTTTCAAGTAAAAAAAATCCTTTTATAAACTTAATATAGATGCTATATAAGTAAAAATTATCAAGAGAAAAAGAAAAATAAGTCTCTTAACATTTATCAATCAACTATCAATAACGAAAGAGATCTCAAGCAGTTATTAATTGAGTTCGGAAAAGGAATGGTTTCCAGTAAGATAAAAGGGACGAGGGGGTAGGAAAAAAAAGATATTGATCTCAATATAACAGCTGATATTACTGAACTAAGAAGAAATTCCCACAACCAATTCTTTCTCTTTGTCAAGTAAGAAGTCAGATGGTATTGACAGTACAATTTAACACAATTGAAATAGTAAGAATAAGATTGTCAGTTAGAGTTTCTTATAATGCGAATTTTTGGTCACTATCGTTTCAGGTATACTCGACAAACGACAAGGTGACACATTTATCCGGCCTTCATGACACATGCCACAGAACAGTGTCACCCGGTGTCACGGGGAATTTAACCTTTAATATATCAGCCGCAGGTAAATTGGAAATTTTTCTTTCTAGTAAATTTTTATTGTTATATGATTTTTATAAATCAGATTTTATACTTTTAAAACTAATAAAATTAATGTTCCGATTTATTACAATGACACAAATCGTAAAGAGTTTCTTGACATTGTCAGTGCAGCTGGATACTTGATTACTTCTACAATTTTCAAGTGAGACAATTAAGACTTTGTTGCTTTTTTATTTTATTGTTTAAAGAAAAATAAGTTGACATTTTCTAAACAATGAGACAACTTCTTACTTTTCAACATTTGACAACTCAATTGTTAAAAAGTAAAATACAAGAATTTACTTTAGAATGAAAATGTTGAATTATTTATATCATAAGTTTAAGTGCGAGGATTTGATGAAGAGAATAAATTCATATTATTTTTAAAAAAATTAAAAAAAGAAACTCAAATATTCTGTTTAAAATATCTATTAAATAATATGATTTTTAAAGAATAAATATTTAAATGAACAAGATTTGAGATTGAGATTTAGTAGAAGCAATTTAAAGATGATGTAGCAGATTATCTGAAGGATTAATTGATGCTGATGTTCGGTTGCTTTCGGCTTTCAGCTATTAATTAGTTGGTTGTGTTAGTTTATGTTAGCTATCACTCTACTCGGAAGATCACTGCTTTACTTTGATGGATGACCATAACACGATCTGGTGACACATAGGTTGTGTTTCGCATGCTTAATCTTGCATTCCCCAAACCACGTGATCACTAGGTGTGAAACTGCTTTACTATCGCAATTTCGCTTCACTGACTCGTGCAGATTTCTCATTTACAAATGCAACTTTGATTTTATAACTTTTTAGAAATTAATTTTCTTTATTTCTCTAAGAATTTTGTCGTTTTATTCAAAAATAAAACAAAAAAACTCTTTACTACCTTTTCAGTTTAATAACTTTAGCGTGTAATTTCGTAAAATATAGAATAACAAACATAAACTTTTATATTTCGTAGTAATCTGAGCAGAATACAAATCAGATTTTTACAAAATAATAATTTCTTATTAAAGAATGGACATATTTTAAACCATAAATAATTGAGTCTGTAGAGAATAAGAGAATAGATTACGGCCTTCAGACATTGTTAAACACGATACTTTAGGGAATAATATGCAGAATATGTATATATAATGAAATTTTTATAACGATCTTTTGCTTGTTTTTTTTTATTTTTCTCTTAAAGGTGACTGCGACTACCTGTTAAAAGGTGGGGCACAAGTGAGGTGGCTCTCCCTTGACGTCATGTTCCTCGCCCTATTACTATATTTCGTCCGGTGACAGGAATCTATCACACTCCCCGAATCTTAAAATTCCTCGTCCTACACGAGAAAAGAGACGGGAAAACCCAGTGCCTAATTTAAAGAAAAAAAAAAAAACACATAATAATAAAAGATATCGGATCTTCAAGATGGACTGTTTCCCTAAAGTCAAAGAGAAAAGCCGCTTAACAACGATATCTGCGGTGAAGTGGGCAATACTTTAAATGTGCGTGTGTGTGCGTGTGATCGGGACAAGTGACTAAAATAAGAAAATAAATAAATAAATAAAAATAAAAAGTAAATGATAAATAAAATTCTTGTGATGTGCGTGAAGAACCACTGTGATTGGACCGATTGAATGATATGTGAGTACTCCTGTAGGAAAGACAATGCCGAAAAAATTAAAATAAAAAAAAAATATTAATTCCAGATATAGAGTAACTCGGCCAGCGAGTTACGCAATTGTATTTTAGAAAACATTGGATCAGACTATCAACAGAATTATTCCATTATTTCTTCGTCCTTGGTCTGTCCGCAGCCTGTTCGTTGTTCATGTAAAGAATACCCAAGAAAAAAAAACAGATAAATGGTACTTATTAATGATACTAATAAAGAGATTTTGTGTTTATTTTGTCTTTTATAAATGAATTATATTATAAACCTAAAGACCAGTTAGTTAGAAGTTGAGTTTAGTGTTCCCAATGTGACCCCATTGAGACTTATGGGAATTGAAGCAAATGAAGCTATTGCCGAACAACAATTCTTTTTCTTTTGACTCCGTTCAATACTAATTTGTCGAAAATCTACTTCTAATTAAACAGGAGAGAGAAATCTATCGAATGGAACAAAATCTATTTTTAGATTTACTTTTTAATAGTGCAATAATCCATATTCTTTTCTTTATATCTATGTAAATTGTCTTGGAAGAATCTTATTTTTTTATAAAATTTTATTTGATTTTTTTAGAACGTTTAGAAAATGTTTTAAATTTTTAATAAGTATAGATTTATACAATTAAANTAGCAATTAAAAAAATTTCAATCTTTCAGAATAAATATTAAAAGCTTCATTTATTCATACAATTTTGATATTTTAACCTTTGATCTTTAAAGGTCAAAACGATCGTAACTTTAAGATTTTAAATAGGAACATATATTTAGTGACACGTCATTCTAAGTCATTTTTAAATATTAAATCCAACGGTGTAATTAGATTTAAAATAAAATGAATCATTTAGAAGTTATACCGGAAAAACCTTCTCTACCAGATCCAGAAAAATTCTTTAGAATAGTCACAACAGTCTTGACCTTTAAATGTCAAAGATCAAAATACCGAAATAGCATAACAGATCCGTTTATAGATCAATTAATGTTTTTAAAATCGCAAATTTTCTACTTAATAGGAAGACACATATTTTAAATATAGAAAATATTTATACAATAAATAATTTTGTAAATAATATGTAAATCTAATTAGGGAAAATTACGTATGGTTTTTTGTAGGGTGACCAAAAGTCACGTGCACATCTACATTGTATTGTTTTTAATGTAAGTGCGCATTGACAAGTACTTTATTTTGCAATTTGTCAGTATATAAAGTGGCGCAAAAGTCACTTAACCGAGGTATATTTTATGATTACTTCAGTAACAGTTAGAATCAATTTGGAGTAGCTCCTTGTTATCGTAATTCAGTAATTTGTGATTTAATGGCTTTCATTGAAACAATTGCATCACGAGTAATAAGTTAGGCCAAACCGTTTTCAAACTTTTAAAAATATCTCAGTTAATTAACTTCTGGGCCACCCTCTATATGTATATAATCTCATTGTTAATAACACCACTTCACTTAACGCGTTATATATTGTTTATATAACACGTTATATTAGTATGCGTTAGATAATTAACTAGTATGTGAGATAGTAATTAATTAAAAATGAATTTTTGAAATAATTATAACAACATTTCTTCAATGAAATTCTTTTTTCCGTTTATTTTTATGAAGTAATGATTAGAATCTTTATTTCTTACGCAATTGCCTTGAGAATTACACAAAAATTCCTATTAGGAAATTAATTAATTCCTTACATTACCTATTATGATGTAAAATTTAAATGACAAATAACTTGTAAAAATTCCTGATATTTAATTAATTCGTGTAAGACATTGGTGAATTGCTCGTGAACATTTTAAATAATTTCTTTAATAAGCAAACAATACTCAAAGTGTAAACACGATATAAACTGCTTGTGTATTCAAGAAAATACCAAGATTTTGATATAAAAAGATGTATTTTATGATAAAATTATGAATATTTTAACCATTAAATTTCAAAGATATAGTTAATCGTGACGTTGAAGATCATATAATCATTGACGTGCTAATGGGCTCGGTGTTTTGCTGAAGAATTTGTACTTGGATTCCATTCCATAGTCAGAAATCTGTTTACCATTTACATTATGGTTAACCACACATCTACCCAATTGTAATCAGTGTGTACTATTGGGTAGATATATGGCTATATTAGGCTAACGCTTTGCATATTATTCGCTTATTAGTTAAATTGCTGCTTAATAATAGCAATTCGCTTAAATTGATAATAGCTTAAACAATAATCCTACGTTATGCTCTTGTAATATCACAATTATCTTTATGCTTTATCTTTATTATTTTTATATGCATCTTTTTAATATGAATAAATGAGAATAGTGTAATTATGTTTTAAAAAACCCAAATATTTCTCATTCTTCTGAAAATAACAGCATTGCGAATTGGTAAAAATTGATATTTTTATATATAATTACAGATAAAATCCGGTTCTGATATAATTATACATCCCGGATACACTTTAAGATCAATTTAGAAACGTGTTCAATACAGAATGTGCAAAATAATTGATTTTTTCAGCTTACATTTTATGTTTCAACTGAAATCAATGAATGCTTAATGAAATATTAATAATCATTGTATTTCGTGTGTTTTACGTGTATCCCTTCGTGTATTTCGTGTATCTTTTTAGGGGTATCTCTTACGTTTGTTTGTTTATGGGATGAACATAAATACCCCATTAATGAGCTTCGTCATTATATATCCTTCCTTACTTGTAAATAGATAAATAAATGACATTTTAAGGAATTTTCCGTTCCTTAAAATAAAAATAATAATAAATTTTAATCAAACACAACACAGGAACGTGATAAAAGGTAAATAAACAATATTATTTCTATATCTACTTCAGTGTGAACATCAAAATTTTTCATCCTCATCTTTTATTTTACATATTATAAAGGATAAACAACCATCTTTTAGCTGTAAAAATTTGTCTTCATCAATATTTTTCTCGTCTATCTTCGTAATTTTAGAAGCATACTTGATGTTTGTTCATAAAGTTTTAAATTTTCTGAGATACTATACATTATATTTATAAATAAAAGACAAATATGCACATTTTTAATTTGCTTTTTTTTTAGATGAATCTATTACTTCTTCCTCTCGCTTTTGTAAATATAAGTATCTGTACAATTATAAATGTTAAAAAAAAAACTAAATACTGCAACTATTGTATAATTATAATAATAATAATTAAGACAGTTTCGGGCTTACATCGCTAATTTTAGCAATTAAAAAAATTTCAATCTTTCAGAATAAATATTAAAAGCTTCATTTATTCATACAATTTTGATATTTTAACCTTTGATCTTTAAAGGTCAAAACGATCGTAACTTTAAGATTTTAAATAGGAACATATATTTAGTGACACGTCATTCTAAGTCATTTTTAAATATTAAATCCAACGGTGTAATTAGATTTAAAATAAAATGAATCATTTAGAAGTTATACCGGAAAAACCTTCTCTACCAGATCCAGAAAAATTCTTTAGAATAGTCACAACAGTCTTGACCTTTAAATGTCAAAGATCAAAATACCGAAATAGCATAACAGATCCGTTTATAGATCAATTAATGTTTTTAAAATCGCAAATTTTCTACTTAATAGGAAGACACCAAGATAATAGAAAGATTATATACCAACAAAATTCGAATTCTTTTATTTATAAAAATAAAAATTAAAAATCCATTCATTATTTAAAATAATTATTTTTTAAATTATTTCATTTCATTAAATTACCAATCAGGAAATAGTTAATATCATTAAAAATATTTTAAAAATTAACAAGTATAAAGTTAAATATTAATAATTTACAATTTTAAATATTATTTATGTAAATATTTAAAAATTTTTATATACTTTTATTATACAACTATATTTTTATTTTATTTTATT